CTAGGGGGCATGGGTGCTGGGACAGGCTGGGTGCTGGGACAGGCTGGGTGCTGGACAGAGTGGGTGCCCGGAAAGACTGGGTGCTAGGACAGGCTGGGTGCTGGGATAGGCTGGTGCTGGGACAGGCATGGGTGCTAGGACAGGCATGGGTGCTGGGACAGGCATGGGTGCTAGAGACATGGGTGCTGGGACAGGCTGGGTGCTGGGACAGGCTGGGTGCTGGGATAGGCTGGGTGCTGGGACAGACTGGGTGCTGGGACAGAGTGGGTGCCCGGAAAGACTGGTGCTAGGACAGGCTGGGTGCTGGGACAGGCAGGGTGCTAGGACAGGCATGGGTGCTGGGACAGGCTGGGTGCTGGGACAGGCATGGGTGCTGGGACAGAGTGGGTGCCCGGAAAGACTGGGTGCTAGGACAGGCTGGGTGCTGGGATAGGCTGGGTGCTGGGACAGGCATGGTGCTGGGACAGGCATGGGTGCTGGGACAGGCATGGGTGCTAGGACAGGCATGGTGCTGGGACAGGCTGGGTGCTGGGACAGGCTGGGTGCTGGGACAGACTGGGTGCTGGGACAGAGTAGGTGCCCGGAAAGCTGGGTGCTAGGACAGGCTGGGTGCTGGGATAGGCTGGGTGCTGGGACAGGCATGGGTGCTGGGACAGGCATGGGTGCTGGGACAGGCTGGGTGCTGGGACAGGCATGGGTGCTAGGACAGAGTGGTGCCCGAAAGACTGGGTGCTAGGACAGGCTGGGTGCTGGGATAGGCTGGGTGCTGGGACAGGCATGGGTGCTAGGACAGGCATGGGTGCTGGGACAGGCATGGGTGCTGGACAGGCATGGGTGCTGGGACAGGCTGGGTGCTGGGACAGGCTGGGTGCTGGGACAGGCTGGGTGGGACAGAGTGGGTGCCTGAAAGACTGGGTGCTGGGACAGGCTGGGTGCTGGGATAGGCTGGGTACTGGGACAGGCATGGGTGCTAGGACAGGCATGGGTGCTGGGACAGGCTGGGTGCTGGGATAGGCTGGGTGCTGGGACAGGCATGGGTGCTAGGACAGGCATGGGTGCTGGGACAGGCTGGGTGATGTGGACAGGCTGGATGCTAGGACGGGCTGGGTGCTGGGACAGGCTGGGTGCTGGGACAGGCTGGGTGCTGGGACAGGCTGGATGCTGGGACGGCTGGGTGCTGGGCAGTCTGGGTGCTGGGACATGTTGGGTGCTGGGATAGACTGGGTGCTGGGACAGGTTGGGTGCTGGGGCAGGCTGGGTGCTAGGACAGGCTGGGTGCTGGAGCAGGTTGGGTGTTTGGTTGGGTGATAGGATAGGCTGGGTGGGACATGTTCGGTGCTGGGTGCTAGGATAGACTGGGTTCTGGGCAGGCTGGGTGCTGAGACAGGCCGGGTTCTGGGACAGGCTGGGTGCTAGGACATGCTGGGTGCTGGGACAGGCTGAGTACTGGGACTTGTTGGTCCTGGGGCAGCCTAGGTGCTGAGACAGGCTGGTTGCTGGGGCTGGCTAGGTACTGGGATAGGTTGGTGCTGGGACATGCTGGGTGCGGGACAGGTTGGGCTGGACAGGTTGGGTGCTCGGACAGGCTGGGTGCTAGAACGTTAGGTGCTTGGACTGGCTGGGTGCTGTGACAAGTTGGTGCTAGAACAGACTGGTTGCTAGAACGGTGAGTGCTAGGACAGGATTGGTGCTAGGACACGGACGGCTAGGTGCTAGGACAGGATGGTTGCTGGGACAGTCTGTATGTTGGGACAGGCTGGGTGCTAGGACAGGCTGGGACTGGGCCAGGCTGGGTGCTAGAACAGACTGGTTGCTGGGACAAGGTGAGTGCTAGGACAGGATTGGTGCGGACACGGACAGGCTAGGTGCTAGGACAGGATGGTTGCTAGGACAGGCTGGATGTTGACACAGGCTGGGTGCTAGGACAGACTGGATGCTGGGACAAGCTGGGTGCTGGGACAGGCTTGGTGCTGGGATAGGTTGGGTGCTGGGACAGGGTGGTGTTGAGACAGGCTGGGTGGGGACAGGGGTGGTGTTGAGACAGGCTGGGTGCTGGGACAGGATGGTGCTGGGACAGTTTGGGTGCTAGAACAGGCTGGGCGCAAGGGCAGGTTGGATGCTGGGACAGGCTGGGTGCAGGGAGAGGCTGGATGCTGGGACAGGCTGGGTGCTGGGACAGGCTGGGTGCTTGGACAGGGTGGATGCTGGGACAGGCTGGGTGCTTGGACGGGGTGGATGCTGGGACAGGCTGGGTGCCAGGACATACTGGGTGCTGGGACAGGCTGTGTGCTAGGTTAGGCTGGATGCTGGGACAGGCTGGGTGTTTAGACAGGCTGGATGCTGAGATAGATAGATAGATATTTTTATTGACCACAAATTATGAATACAGAGTTTACACTGAAATTTTACATAAAATGGTCCAAAGTTCACTGATTAACCAGTAACACAAAAAACAGAGGAAAACTACAAGTAAATAAAGTAAAACAAAAATAACTACAAGTAAAATATTCTAAAATATACAAAATAGTGGATGAGTATGCTCTGTGACTTTAACTATACATATAGTATTCGATGAACTGCACGACAAACAGTTTATACCTGTTTTTTCAGACAGCAGATTTACAAAGTTGAAATACTATATTAATGGCGTATATTTACAGGGGCATTTCAACAACATGCTATTCTGAATGAATAACACCACATGAACACATATCTCTTCAATGAGCAGACGGCTGCCTCTTCTGTTCCAGCGCCTCTCTACAGCCAGGAATGCACCAAAAACACATTCATGCCCACGATACTGTTCTAGCTCATTCACCTTTATCTTTGTATTGCAGATTGCATGAACATCAAGATTTGGATTGATAGTCTTGAATAATTGTACTCTACTTAAGTCTGAGTTTGAGTTTCTGTTTCAGAGTGTGTAAGGCTATTTGAACATCATCAATATCATTAATAAAAAGATCGCCTACATATCGTGACATAGGCATATTAAAACTTAATACAACATTAATAGTATGGGCAAATGGATCGTCTCCCATTTCACTTCTTCCCGTCCATATTCTCGAGAAAAATTTACGCTGCTTAGCTGTTATGAGGACACGTAACGGAGAGTAACCAAGTTCCACCATGCATAATTCATTGGTGGTCGTTTTACTGACACCTAATAACTGTTTAATACACCACATATAAAGTTTATTCACAGGCGTAATGTCACCACTTAACCATGATTCACAACCATATAACAAGGCGGACATCAATGCTGCATGAACTTGAATTGCCCAAATACATGTAGTGGTCACACGGTTCCACGGTCATACCACCAACAACCAATGCTTGTTTCTCAGCCTCACTGCCATTTATAGCGAAAAACTTTGTCTTACCTTGGTGCTAGGACAGGCTTGATGCTGGGTCACGGTAGGTGCTGGGACAGGATGCGTGCTAGGACAGGCTCGGTGCTGGGACAGACTGAGTGCTAGGACAGGCTGCATGCTGGGATAGGATGGGTACTGGGACAGGCTGTGTGCTTGGACAGGCTGGATGCTGGGACAGGCTGGAAGCTAGGACATGTTGGGTGCTAGGACAGATTGGGTGCTGGGACAGGTTGATGCTTGGACAGGCTGGGTGCTAGGACAGGTTGATGCTGGGACAGGCTAGGTGCTAGGATAGATTGGTGCGAGGAAATTTGTGTAAAACAGGTTGGGTGCTGGGACGGGCTGGGTGCTAAGGCAGGGTAAAGAGAGCTGGGAGGAGGTACTTTTTTGTGGGGACTTTCTAGGCGGCGGTGGGCGAGAGGTGAGAGGAGAGTGGAACTGAGTGTGTGGAGGAGGTGGTGGGGTTCAGGTGGAGGCGGAGGAGTAGGAAAGTAGAAGTGGAGGAGGTAGGTGGAGGTAGAAGTGGATGTAGGTGGAAGAGGTAGGAATGAGGAGGTGGAGGAGGAAGGAAAGTAAGGATAGAGGTAGGAAAGTGGAGGTGGAGGTAGGTGAAGGAGGTAGGAAAGTGGAGGTGGAGGAGGTGATTTTATTTACACGGGGTGGATGAGTACTAAGTGGTAAACCCTGTGTGATGATGACTAGTGAACGTGTTTTCAGAATATGTTGTCTTAATGAGGGAGACGCGTGGACAAGACCTGTTTGTGAGTGACAGTGAGAGAGAGAGAGAGAAAGATAGTACAAGAGAACTCTATGTGAGTAATTGTGTGAGAGAGAGAGAGAGAGCTGTCTTAGTGAGTGACAGACAGAGACAGAAAATGAGAGAGAGAGAGAGAGAGAGAGACAACACATCAAGAAAATAGACACAGAGGGAATAAACAAGGCAATAAATCAGACAAAAAGACGGAAGAACAAAAATAGAAAGGGGAAGAGAGAAAGGCGATAATAACTAGAGATAAGAGAAGGATTAAGAAAGGAAGAATAAGCAAAGAGAAATAGTGGAACAGGAAAGAGGAAAAGGAAGAGTTTATCAAGAAGGAAACGAAGATTTTGATGAAGAGGGTAAAAAGAGTTTGTTTATGTTGGCGGAGAAGACTTATGGAGCAGACTAGTTCAGTATACGAAACACAACAATGACGCGAGCACCTTTATAGTGACTCTGTGTGTGTGTGTGTGTGTGTGTGTGTGTGTGTGTGTGTGTGTGTGTGTGTGTGTGTGCTATGTGTGTACACACAGGTCAGAACAAGAGAGCAAGTCATCCACCACCACAAACACACCATAAATCTTGAGCGCCACTGTGTGAGAGGAGGTGGAGAAGGAGGTGCTGCAGTTGGAGGAGGAGGTGCTGCAGTTGGAGGAGTAGCTGCAGGTGGAGGAGGAGGAACAGGTGGAAAAGGTGGTGGAGGTAGAGGGGGGGGTGAGAGGAGGAGGATGTGGTGGTGAATGAGGTGGAGTAGGAGCAGCAAGTGGAGGAGGAGATGATGGAGTAGGTGGAGGAGGAGGAGGTAGAAGAAGAGAAAGGGATGGTGAAGAAAGAGTATGGAGAGGATGTCGAGGAGGAAGAGGAAGAAGGTAGAGAAATGGGAGGAATTAAGGCAAGGTAGAAAGAAGAGGAAGAGGAGAAATGGGAGGAAGAAAGACACGGTAGAAGAAGGAAGAGGAAGAAAGGAAGGAGGAGGAGGGGAATATCAAGGAAGATGGAGGAAGAGGAGGAACAGAAGAAGAATCACCTAATTCCGTCACAACAACAATGGTGAATTAAGCTATTTTTCTCAGCCATTATTTAAACCTTTGTTTACCACGCTACTTTATTTGTGCTTACTTACTCACCACCTATTTTGCTTTTACTTACTTCAGCCTTCACTTCTTCACTTCAACCTCACCTCCCACCCTCACCTTACTCCAGCCTCACCTCACTCAGCCTCACCTCCACCTCACCTCTAACCCAGCCTCACCTCACTTCACCACCTCACCACCCTTCATTTCAACCACCTTTTTCACCACTTGCTCACCTCGTTTTCAGCCACAGCCTGCCTACCAAAGCCACTTACCACCACAGCCACCTCCACACAGCCACTTACCTCTTCACCACCACGACAGCCCTTACCAGCTCACTTACCCTGACTATAACAACGGCTGCCTCACCCCCTAGCCCTGACAGCCAGTGGGATGACAGGCTATGTGGGTGACAGCCCATCTCTGACAGCTGACAGCCAGTGGGATGACAGACTAGGTGACGTGACAGACAGCCCATCCCTGCAGCTGACAGCCAATGGGATGACATAGGTGGTGGTGACAGGTGACAGCCCATCCCTGACAGCTGGCAGCCAGTGGGATGACAGGATGGGTGGTGGTGATGGGTGACAACCCATCCCTGACAGCTGACAGCCAGTGGGATGACAGGATAGGTGGGTGACAGACAGCCCATCCTGCAGCTGACAGCCAGTGGGATGACGGATAGGTGGTGGTGACAGGTGACAGCCACCCTGACAGCTGGCAGCCAGTGGGATGACGGATAGGTGGGTGACAGGACAGCCATCTCCTGACAGCTGACAGCCAGTGGGATGATAGGTTAGGTGGTGGGACAGGTGACAGCCAATCCCTGACAGCTGACAGCCAGTGGGATGACGGATAGGTGGTGGTGACAGGTGACAGCCCATCTCTGACAGCTGACACCCAGTGGGCTGACAGGTAAGGTGGTGGTGACAGACAGCCACCCTGACAGCTGACAGCCAGGGATGACAGGATAGGTGGTGGACAGGACAGCCATCTGACAGCTGACAGCCAGTGGGATGACAGGATAGGTGGTGGTTACAGGTGACAGTCTATCTGGACAGCGGACAGCGTGGGATGACAGGATAGGTGGTGGTGAAGGTGACAGCTCATCCTGACAGCTGACAGCCAGTGGGATGACAGATAAGGTAGTGGTTAGGTGACAGTCCATCTTGACAGTTCCTGGAAACAGCCTAACACTGCCAATTATGTCAAGGTATGAGCGACCATTGTTGTCTGATAGTGGCTGAAGGAGGAAGGGCTTGAGGAGAGGAGGAGGAGGGGGAGAGGGAGGAGGGGAGGGGTGGGAGAGAGAGGGGGGAGGGAGGGGTGAGAGGGGAGGGAGGGAGGAGGGAGGGGAGAGAGAGGAAGGAGGAGGTGAGAGAGAGGAAGGAGGGAGGGGAGGGTGAGGGGAGGGAGGGAGGGTGGGAGAGAGAGGAAGGAGGGAGGGTGAGAGAGAGGGAGGGAGGAGGGGAGAGAGGGGGAGAGGGGAGAGAGGGAGGGAGGTGGAGGAGGGTGGGGTGAGAGGAGAAAGGGAGGGAGGTGAGAGAGAGGAAGGAGGGGTGAGAGAGAGAGGAAGGGAGGGAGGGGAGAAGAGGAAGGGAGGGGGGGAGAGAGAGAGGAAGGGAGGGAGGGGTGAGAGAGAGGGAAGGAGGGGAGGGTGAGAGAGAGAAGGGAGGGAGGGGAGAGAGAAGGAGGGGAGGGGAGAGAGAGGAAGGAGGGAGGGGTGGGAGAGGAGGGAGGGAGGGGAGAGAGAGGTGAGAGAGAAAGGGAGGGAGGGGTGGAGAGGGAGGAGGGAGGTGGGTGAGAGAGAGAAAGGGAGGAGGGTGGAGAGAGAGGAAGGAGGGAGGGTGAGAGAGAGGAAGGAGGGGAGGTGGAGAGGAGGGAGGAGGGGGAGAGAGGAAGGGAGGGAGGGTGAGAGAGAGGAAGGAGGAGGGTGAGAGAAAGGAGGGAGGGTGAGAGAGAGGAAGGAGGGAGGTGAGAGAGAGGAAGGAGGAGGGTGAGAGAGAAGGGAGGGGAGGGTGAGAGAGAGGGAGGGAGGGGAGAGAGAGGAAGGGAGGGAGGGTGAGAGAGAAGGGAGGGAGGGGAGAGAGGAAGGGAGGGAGAGAGAGAAAGGAGGTGGCAGGGAGATAGAGGGAAGGAGGTGGGGAAGGGACACAAGGTAAAGGGAGAGGGAAGAGTGAAGGAATGGAAGGGAGAGAGATAGAGAGAGGGATGATTGGAGAGAAAGGAAGACACTTTGATAAAGAGAAAGATAAGAAAGAAAGGAAGGAAGGAAGGAAAAGGTAGAGAGGAATGTTAAATAGAAGAATGAAAAGGAGGAAGAGAGAGAGGAAGTGAGGGAGGCTTGATGATAAAGAGGGAGAGACAGAGAAAGGTAAGGAGGTGTGGTGGGAGTAGGGTAGTGTGGGAGGTGGTGGAGGTGGGAGGTGGTGGAGGTAGGTGGGAGGTGTGGTGGGAGGTAGGTGTGTGTGGGAGGTGTGGTGGAGGTAGTGGAGGTGGTGGAGGTAGGTAGTGGAGGTGTGGTGGAGGTAGGTAGTGTGGAGGTGTGGTGGCAGACATCTGGAGGTGTGGTGGAGGTGGCAGTGGGAGGTGGTGGAGGCAGGTAGTGATGTGGTGGGGAGGCAGTGTGGAGGTGTGGTGGGATGTAGGTAGTGTGGAGTGTGGTGGAGGCAGTGGGAGGTGTGGAGGCAGGTGTGGAGGTGTGGTGTGATGCAGGTAGTGTGGAGGTGTGTGATGCAGATACTGTGGAGGTGTGGTGGAGGTAGTGTGGAGGTGTGGTGAGGCATACTGTGGAGGTGTGGTGGAGGTGTGGAGGTGTGAGTGTAAGACACTGTGTGGTGGAGGTAGGTAGTGTGGGAGGTGGTGATGGAGGTAGTGTGGAGGTGTGGTGGGAGGTAGATACTGTGTGGTGAGGTAGTGGAGGTGTGGTGGAGTGTAGGTAGCGTGGAGGTGGTGAGGTAGGTAGTGGAGGTGTGGTGAGGTAGTGGAGGTGGGGAGGTAGGAGGAGGTGTGGTGGAGGCAGGGCGTGGAGGTGTGGTGGAGGTAGTGTGGAGGTGTGGTGGAGGCAGTAGTGGAGGTGTGGTGGAGGTGTGGGAGGTGTGGTGAAGGCAGAGAGTGTGAGGTGTGGTGAGGGCAGGACAGTGTGTGGGAGTGTGGTGATGCAGTGTGGAGTGTGTGGTGATGCAGGTGTGGTGGAGGTGATGTGAGGTGTGGTGGAGGCAGGGAGGTGGTGAAGGTAGATACTGTGGAGGTGTGGTGGAGGTAGATAGTGTGGAGGTGAGGTGGGTAGTGTGTGGAGGTGTGGTGGAGGTAGATAGTGGGAGGTGTGTGGAGGTAGATAGAGGTGTGGTGAAGGATAGTGAGGTGTGGAGGTAGATACTGTGGAGGTGGGGGTGGAGGTAGATAGTGTGGAGGTGTGTGGAGAGAGGGTTTACTGCGTGCTCATTAGCCTTGGCCAGCCAACCACAGTTAAACTGGTTTCAGCACTTACCAGCCTACCGCATTTCTCTGTTACCTGCTGTTTCTGATTCTGACTACAGCTGATGCACTAGACAGAGAGATGATACAGACATGACAACATATATACAGAAGAGATATGTAGACACAGGTGACATGTATACAAGAGAGAGAGAGAGAGAGAGAGAGAGAGAGAGAGAGAGAGAGAGAGAGAGAGAGAGAGATGAAACACACACAACAGAGGCTGAAGGGGATACAAGTTTGAGTAATGGGGAGAGGAGGGGAAGGGCCTGGGACGGTGTGAGTGTGAGGGGTGAGGGTTGCACACAGTTCCAAGAAAGAAAGGGGGTAATAATGGAGGTGACGACTGTGCTCACATAGTGGGGATGTAATGAAGTGGCCATTTCATATGTTGAAGTGGCACAGCTACCAGGGCGAGGGGAGGAGAAGGGAGGCCAAGAGAAGGGAGGGGTCAAGAGAAGGGAGGGGTCAAGAGAGGAGGGAAGAGAGGGGAGGGTCAAGAGAAGGAGGTCAAGAGAAGGGAGGAATAAGAGAAGGAGGTCAAGAGAGGGAGGACAAGAAGGAATAAGAGAGGGAGGGGAAGAGAAGGGACAGAAGGAAGCCAAGAGAAGGGTCAAGAGAAGGGAGGGCTCAAGAGAGAGGGAAAGAGAAAGAAGAGAGGAAGAGAAGGAGGTCAAGAGAGGAGGTCAAGAGAAGGAGGGGTCAAGAGAAGGGAGGGAAGAGAGGGGAGGTCAAGAGAAGGGAGGGGCGAGAAGGGAGAGGGAGGGGGCCAAGAGAAGGATAAGAGAGGGAGGGCAAGAGGGGAGGGCCAGAAGGGAGGGGGGTAAGAAGAGGAGGAGCAAGAGAGGCAAGAGAAGAGGGAGGGAGGCCAAGAGAGGAGGCCGAGAAGGGGAGAGACAAGAGAGGAGGGCAAGAGAGAGACAAGAAGGGAGGAAAAAGAGAGGGAGGCCAAGAGAAGGGGAGAGACCAAGAGAGGAGGTCAAGAGAAGAGGTCAAGAGAGGGAGGCAGAGGAGGGAGTCAAGAGAGGGGAGGGGTCAAGAGAAGGGAGGGAGGGGCCAAGAGAAGGAATAAGAGAGGGGAGGAGGGGTCAAGAGAAGGAGGTCAGAGGGAGGGTCAAGAGAGGGGAGGTCAAGAGGAGGAGATCAAGAGGAGGGGATAAGAGAGTAAGACAAGAGGGAGGGAGAGGAAGGGGGTCAAGAGAAGGGAGGCCAAGAAAGAGAAGGAGACAAGAGGGAGGGCAAGAGAAGGAGGCCAAGAGGGGAGGCTGAGAAGGGAGGCCAAGAGAAGGGACAAGAGAGGGAAGAGAGGGAGGCCAAGAGAAGGGAGGAGAAGAGAGAAGGAGGGGACAAGAGAGGAGAGGGAGGTCAAGAGAAGGGAGGTCAAGAGAAGGGAGGCCAAGAGAAGGAGGAATAAGAAGGGGAGGAAGAAGAGAGGTCAAGAGGGAGGGGTCAAGAGAAGGAGGACAACAAGAGAAGGGAGGGGAAGAAGAAGAGAGGGTCAAGAGAAGGAGGGGTCAAGAGAAGGAGGGGTCAAGAGAAGGAGGGAGAAGGGAGGGCCCAGAGAAGGGAAACAAGAGAAGGAGGGGCCAAGAGAGAGGGTCAAGAGAAGGGGAGGCCAAGAAGGGAGGGCCAAGAGAAGGAGGAGACAGGGAGGAGGGGCTGAGAGGGAGGGGTCAAGAGAAGGGAGGCCAAGAGAAGGAAGAGAAGGAGAAGAGAAAGAAGAGAGGGGGAGTAAGAGAAGGGGTCAAGAGAAGGGAGGCCAAGAGAGGGAGGTAAAGGAGAAGAGAGAGGACAAGAGAGAGGAAACAAGAGAGAGGGGAAAAGGAGGCCAAGAAGAGAGGGGTCAAGAGAAGGGAGGAGACAAGAGAGGGAGGTAAAGAGAAGGACAAATAAGAGAGGGAGGTCAAGAGTGGTCAAGAGAAGGGAGGGGTCAAGAGGAGGTAAGAGGAAGAAGAGGATAAAAGAGGGGTCAAGAAGGGAGAGAGAGGAGGGGCCAAGAGAGGGTCAAGAGAAGGAGGTCAAGAGAAGGAGACCAAGAGGGAGGTCAAGAGGGAGAGGTCAAGAGAGGGGAGTAAGAGAAGGAGGCCAAGAAGGGAGAAGAGAGAGGGAGGAGAGAGGCCAAGAGAAGGAGGCCAAGAGAAGGAGGCCAAGAGAAGAAGAGAGGAGAGGGGAAGAAGGGAGGGGAGAGGGAGGGAGAAGGGAGGCCAAGAAGGGAGGTCAAGAGAAGGGAGGGCCAAGAGAGGGAGGGGTCAAGAGAGGGAGGTCAAGAGAAGGAGGTCAAGAGAGGAGACAAGAGAAGGAAGAAGAGAGGAGGTCAAGAGAAGGGGAGACACAAGAGAGGAGGAGGGGTCAAGAGAGGGCCAAGAGAGGGAGGGGTCAAGAGAAGGGAGGGGAGAGGAGGGACAAGAGAAGGAGAAGGGGAGGAAAGGAGGCCAAGAGGGAGGACAAGAGGAGGGGCCAAGAAAGGGAGAAGGAGAAAAAGAGGGAGAGGTAAAAAGGGAGTACAAGAGAGGAGTAAATAAGAGAAGGGAGGCCAAGAGAAGGGAGGTCAAGAGAAGGGAGGCCAAGAGAGGAGTAAAAAGAGGGGAGGTCAAGAGAAGGGAGAGGAGACAAGAGAGGAGGTCAAGAGAAGGGGAGGGGAGAGGGAGGGGAAGAGAGGGAGGGGAAGGAGAGGGGAGGGGTCAAGAGAAGGGGAGGATGGAGAGAGGAGGGGGTCAAGAGAGGGGAGGCCAAGAGAGGGGAGGGGATCAAGAGAGGGGAGGGATGGAGAGGAGGGGCCAAGAGAGAGGGGAGGGGACAAAAGAGAGGGAGGGAGGGGAGGGGAAGGAGAGAGGGGTCAAGAGAGGGAGGGGCCAAGAGAGGGGA